CAATGGCCAGAAATCCCAACATTGGACATACAGAGAGATGGATGAGCGTGGTAGAACAGAAGCATGTTCAAGCTCTTACCGATCGTCTAGGCTTTGGAGATAGGGCCAAGGAGATTCAGGGCAAGAAGAAGCAGGCAGCCAAGGCAACAGCTAAGTCAACATCAACGACTAAGTCTGAAGCGAAAGCAGCATCTTCGTCAAGAGCTGAGGCAAAGCCAGCATCTACACCCAGAACCGAGGCCAAGCTGTCGTCAGCACCAAGTGAGGAGCCAAAACCTTCAACAGCACCTAAGAGTTTCGGGCCCTCATCAGCAGAGGAGAGCAAGGCGAAGGCTGCTCCAAAAGCCAGACCACATGATAAATCACCATCCAGTGCTACCGATGTGTTTGAGCAAGCTTTGCAGGAAGATCTTGCCGCCAACGCACATGCAGCAGAAGGTACAACTTCTTCATCATCCCGAGGACATTCCAAAGGAGGAGGCCAATCTGGAACATCTTGGAGGCCGGCGCTAACGCAAGAACGTCGCGAAGTACCTCAACCTTCTGAAAAGGGGAAGGGAAAGAGCAAGTCCAAGGGAAAGTCCAAGAAGGGAGAAGATGATCGGCGGGATGCTCAGGGCAGCTGGGATCATTGTGGATGGAGAGGTTATCGCCAGTGGTGATTTCTTTGAACGACTATGAGGATATCGGATACCATGCAAACCAGGGAGGAAGTCATTCACCGGATGTCTATCTGACCTGAAACGCTGTAAGTGTATCATTGCAAATCATCAATCCGATTTGATACCATGAGCATAATGGAAGGCAGACAGTCACCGACTGTCTCTCCGACTTGCCGTTCTGTAAGTGTATCCAAACCAAAACCTACATCTTTTGAGAAGTGTGAAGTCAGTTGCCGATGTGACATCTACGTGGAAGTCACCAGTTCGGATCTACATCAAAGCGATGCTCTTTTGAGTGGATACTGAGCGAGGCCTCGTGACTGTCTCACTTGTTCAATTCGATTTTCATAGGTTCTGAGCCATAGTTGCACACTTTATATGTAAAAGTCCGCTTTAGTCCAGCATGTTTCGTAGTATGAGCCTCATATGAGTCTCGCGGCAAATCATACAATTTCTTTTGTAGCACTTACATCCCTAAATTTTCGTGTGTGATCGGAACATATTGTTGCCGTTCACATGGGGGGTGCGAATGGAAGTGCAGCGACACGTACAGTGCAACTTGTACATATACATGTACCATATGTACTTTGGCTCAAGGATCAAGCGACTAGAAAAGGTGCGGTTTCCGTTCCGACGCTACGCCGCTTATGGATCGTCAGTGATAGCTTCAAACTTCGCTGATTAAGATCCACTCGCAGTTTCCAATCCCTGCCAAATACCAAAGGATAGATATCAAATAATGTTATTCAGGGTTCGCAGCTCTTTATCAGCGTTCTTGCGATCGTCCAGGCAGCCCACTCTCCAGGGCAGTTCCAGTTCACTAGGCGATCGGCGCACTGACAATGCAGACCAAAATGGCAAGACTTGGATCATACAAAAAGCTTTTGGTTGATGTTTGAATCATTCTTTTCATACTTTTATACCATGTATTTTTTTGGCATCGTTGAATGCTTCAACAGAAGCAGCTGAATGATCGAATGGACTTGCGATGATGCGAGTGTCTTGAAGGGAACCCCTTTGACCTTTGGTATCAGGTTGATACAATATATAGGCTTTGTTGTGTTCTCATGTATTTCCTTCGACCTGGTGTTGGCTGCCTGAACAGTAGGCCTCAATCACCAACGGTGAGCGTGGTGAGATCAGCCGGAGTCTCAGCTTACCTGTCAGCCACTCCCAAAACATCGGGAGCGCTTCTGGTTTTCCAGCGATGCCCTTGTTAGGTTCGTAGCTTCTTGCTCCTAGTAGTAATGCCAGGAGCTACTAGTAGCTTCTCATTACTAGTAGCAATGGCCTCCCACCTAATAGCGATGGCCTCCACCCAGTAGCTTCTTGTTCTGGTTTTCATCCACCTTTTGTGGCTACTCTGTGCACCGTGTTAACTTAAACCTGGGTATTGTTCAGGTCTTCACAGATGGGGAGATTTTCTTACCATACCTTTACCCTTGGTGGAAAATTGGGACGTGCAAGCATCGGGAAACAATGTTGGCCCTTTTATGCCTTGATCTTCTAACAGTCGCTCCCTTCGATTGCCCAGGCACCTCACACGCCTCAATCGGGCACCAAAGCGGGGATCTTAGACTTGGATCAGGGGGGTTCAAGGCGGAGACTTTAACTAATAGCAATGGGAAACTAATAGATGACCCAAACTGCGACGGAGTTTCCCACAGGTCACATGCTACATCATGCTACACATCCCTCCCAACTTCGCCCCAACATGACAATTACCAATAATGAACTCGGATCCTTTTTGCAAGCGACCAATCACGACCCGCAGCAACTACTCCTGGCCTCTCATTCCTGGATTAAATGAGTAAAACACACCGCTGGTCTTCTCCGGTGACTTCTCAACGGTTCGGTGCCTTTCTAGCACCTTTGAAGGTCTGGCCCCAGGGCTTTCCAGTGCCAGGTGGGAAGCGATGAGATCCAATGCAGGGGTCCAACATTTCATTCCTTGCCTAGCTCTAGCAAGGTCTAAGAGAAAAAACCCATCAGGAGCAAGAAGCAGTTGACAGCTGAGCAAGTTCCATCTCCGCTCTGGGCACAGGTGTGAGTCCGGTGAGCTCCAGTCCCAAACTCACCTTCATCTCTACGGTGCCCAGCTTGTCACCTCAGGTGCAGCCTGGCGTTGGAGACCTGACACCCTTCAGGAATGCACAACAAATTCTGAGACCTCCCAAATAGGCCTTTCAAGGATAGGGTGCAAGGAGATATGTGAACCTTTCTCAAGCCGGCGCTGGCGACCTAGATATTCTTGCTCTGAGAATCATTGAACTGATTTATCCAGATGCAACTTCTTTGCAGTTCCAATGGTTTGAGGATGTTTGAGGTACTTTGTAACCTAGCCTGAGCAGATCTCAGCACCAGGCCGTGAGCCCGACGTCTTTCCCTTCGCCTGTGGCCTTTTCCCCCTGGCGACCCGCGCCTGCCTCTCCCACAGCTGTGGCTGTGGCCACGGCGCCAGCGTCTCCGTCGGTGGCACCGGTGCCAGCGGCAGCGCCGGTGGCCACGGCGCCAGTGGCAGCACCTGTGGTCACAGCTCTGACGGCGGCGGCGGTGGCGCAGGAGTGGGCTCATGTGGATTGAGTCGGAACATTGGAATGTATTTACACATATAATATGCATTGAATAGACATATAGGAATCAGCAGAGCATGTGTAGGAAGGTTGTTTTCCCCAAACAGTTTGCTGTTGGGGTGCTCTGTTGTCCTCCCGTTGTCCTTTTCTTGTCCTCTGGTTGTCCTGTTGTCGTCCTCCTGCTCCTGCTGTCCTCTGGTCGCGCTCGCGAAACGTGTCCTCCTCTTGTCATCCTACTGTCCTACCCTGTGTCCTCCTGTTATCCTCCTGCTGTCCTTTTTGTGTCTTCTGGCCCCGCTCGCGCACCCTGTGTCCTCTTCTTGTTCTCTTGGTGTCCTCCTGCTGTCTTCGCACCACGCTTGCGAACACTGTGTCCTTCTCTTGTCAGGCACTCTGCCAGCGTTGGTGCCCGCAGGCTAACCCCCCTTGTACACAAGATGCCTCCCATCCATAGGGATTTGGGGTGCACGGTGTCCTCCTACTGTCCTCTAACCCCTCTTGTCCTCCTGGTCTCCTCCCGCTGTCCTCCTGTTCCCCAAACAGTTTACGCCGAGTTCTCTCTTAGCAAAACAAGCGCTGGTGATGATAGCTGTTGCCGCGCTGTGGGCGCTGCCTTCTGCCCTTTTATCACCACCTTGTCCGAGCCTTGTCCCTTGCTCGGCCACGCCGCTTTCCCTTTTTCCACTGGCGGGTATGTTTTCGCAGTGATACAGCGGTTCGAATTTGATATCATCCTCAGATTTTCCCATGGCATATATCCCCTCGTTTTTGCCCATGTGACCCAGGAATCAGGAACTATATATTGTGTTCAATCTTTTTTTGTTTACATGCCATTCCCAAACAGCTGGAGGCTATAGGAATAAAATTACCGACGTCACGTTGCCACCAACATTTTAATTCAACGAGTTGACACAAAATCCGTGCCGACACTGTTTGGGGCCTATGCTGGCATAGTTATATTGTTGATTTGAGCGGCGGAGGCATTAAGAAACAATGGGAAACAATTCAGGATTGGCACACAGATAGCCATCCACCCGCCATTTGCTTTTCAATGGTTGAACCTGAACCTGCCACGAGGATGTCTTGGTCGGCAACCATCCGCCAGGGCCTCAGCACACAAGACAGTAGCGCAAAGGACTTCATCGATGCCCAAAGAGGCCGGCAGGACGCCGACTTGGTGTGAGTACGTGGAAGAGGGCAGATTTCTCGAAAGGCTGTCGAGGGTTGAGAGTGATGGCCTCCACCCTAGTAAATTGCGATGGCCTCCAACAGAGAAGATGCAAGGAACAAAAACACAGTCGTCGACCTGGTTTCGGGTCGGTCACTCAATCATGCCGATGGTCGTGTTTCATTTCAGGCCCTCACCCAAAGACAGCATCGGAGAGCCCAGTCGGTTAGCCCAGGGTCAAGGGATGAGCAAAGGGAGAAGGGGAAGTAGGAGGGAGCCTGCTAGTAAGGCACCTGTTACTACTAGTAAGGCACTTGTTACTACTAGCTTCTTGTTACTACTAGCGTGGCACTTGTTACTACTAGTAAGGCACTTGTTACTACTAGGTTCTTGTTACTACTAGCGTGGCACTTGTTACTACGCACAAATCTATCGAATGTAAAAGCTTGAAGGTGGAACAGTCGAACTGAAAAGGCGACCTTTGTGGAGGGAGTCTCGCAGTGAAGATGCTTTCACGTTCACTTGCCTTTGTTGAGTTCAAGCAAGTAACACGTATATCTCCAGCTTACTCACAGGGTACTAACATACGATCCGGTGAGCCATTCTGCTCCATTTGCTCCAGTCGCTCAACCCGTCTATCCATCCACATGGCGCAAAAGCTTAGCTGCTTGGTGAAAGAAACATGAACATGTTGTTGGGCTGGCTTTCTTTATCTATATAAGATTCTCGGTTATTGAAGAGTGCAGTCCAGAGTTGCAGATGAACTGAGGTGATGAGTGTAGAATGATTTTGGCTTTGGGCGGCCTGGTGACAACTCAGCCGTTTCGCGTTGATGCCACACAGATACATCTTCATTTTTCACAACTTAAACCATGCGGCCGTCTCTGGTTGCCTTTGAGGACTGGAGCCTCCTAGTGGCAAGCTTCTCTCAGCAGCAAGACGTAGAGCCATCGCCGTGAATGGACCTGCAGCAGCAGAGACTTGTCGACCAGTCCGGGCGTTTGGTGTTTTTGACTCAGCACACCGTGCCGAGCGGGCCGAGCACGCCGAGCGTGCCGAGCGAGAGCGAGAGAGGAGAGAGGAGAGAGGAGAGAGAGGGAGGGAAGACGTCTGACCGACGTTTTCTCAGGTCCAATTCAAGGATGTGCGCTTGGAGATTGGAGGCAGAGTGCGCGAAGCAGCTCAAGGTCGCCAAGAGCGTCGCCAAGAGGGTCTTGTGGACAGTCAGAGTGAAGAAACCAGCCGCGCCCACAATGTCCGAACCTAGAGCTGATCGTGGCCGCACAGGCATAGCTCAAGGACGAAGCAGTTTTTTGTTGCGTAACTTGCTTACCGCTGCTTAAATTAAATTAGCATTACTTTAGACTTAATTTAATTCTAATTTGTTACTACTAGCGTGGCACTTGTTACTACTAGTAAGGCACTTGTTACTACTAGCGATGCCTCTGATGGCACTCGCAACATCTCGCAACCCCTTTTAGGATCGATCATGGACTGCGTTGCTTCTCTTCGTGAGAGTGGTGCGGACCTGCCATAGCTAGAGAAACAGACTGTTTGATTGAGTTTGAAATTGTTGGGGAGAATTGTTGTTGGATCATCAAATGTAAAAGAACACACACACACATGGTGGACAGCTGTTCAGACGTCGAAGAATCCAGTAATGAATGCCTGAAAGGCGGTTTTAAGCAATTTTTCGCCAAAGAATCATTTAATTGAGCTGAGTCAAGCCTTGTGCAGGTGTGGTGTTTTGCTTAAGCCTTCCTTGTTCGCACAGATAAACGCACGTCCTTCTTCTTGGGACTCTCTCAGCCAACCTCTCAGTCAGTCAGACGTGAGACGCCTTCCTCTTGAAAAGGCTGTTGCGCAGACAAGATCTGTGGCAAATAAGCCTTTGCCTGACCAGCGTAGCTGCCTGGAGCAAAGATGCTGGTCAAGAGTTCTCACCTTCTCTTGACGGAAGCAATTCAAACAACTGCTGTGGCTCTGTCGGCGTTGTCCCGACCGTTTGAAAGGATGAGGATGAGCGATGAGCGATTTTATTCAAACAAGCTCATGCCACAATGGATTGACGCTGCAGGATTTGTGAATTGTTCTGTGCAACAAAAGCAGTCATTCCGCGTCACACCATCATACTCCATCAATGAAGCCATCGAACTTCATCCCACCGCAGCCTGAGAAACTGTGACCCTTGCTCGACGGACTTTTGCCGAAAAAAGACGGGGGCTGCTAGCGGCGGTCTTGGAATCGATCCAAGTCCTGAGCTTCGTAGCACACCGGACCGTCTTTCTGAAGCAGGACACCGGTCCGTCCAATTCTGGTTCTTGTTGTAGCGTCCTTGCTCCTAGTAGTAAGGCCAGGAGCCCCTAGTAGCGTCCTTGCTCCTAGTAGCGTCTTCTTTTTATTGTCCAATTCCTTTTCTTCTTTTTTATACTGCTGGCTTGGACAATTTGACGATTCCAACCGCAAGCCTCATCAGCCTAGGCTTTGGTGCTCCATTCGAGGTGCTGTGCTGGGTGTTTCTTTTCTTATTTGCCATCGTAGATCGCAACAGAAAGCCTGACGATGGAATGATCTCCTACGGATTTCCACGGTCTGTTTCTTCATTTTTCTTTCTCAAATAATTACGTCAGAAGCTCTCCCTCTCGTCACAGGTCGACGGTCGGGTCTCAACGGCCAGGTACGGCCTCCGAAGCCGAAGGAGGTGAAAGGTGGAAGGCGCAAGAGCTCTCAGGCCGCGAAGGACTGAAACGCTTGGCCGCTGTCAAGATGCTGAAACGAACGAACGGCAAGATGCTGGTTCCAGGCTCGAGACGAGGCGAACTTAATTTGCATGAGAACGAATTTAGTCCTTTGGCTACTCGTCCTTTTTTTGGGGGGGGAACTTAACTTTTTGGGCACGATGTGTTGGTGTAGCATTGTACTGTGAACATATGGACCTTGCATGAGGTTGCTGCACTCTAGAACGGTTATTCACTTGATTCAACTTGTTCCCGCCTGCCCAAACATCAAGTTGAGGCAGCAACAAAACGCGCCCAATTTTAGATCCCACAGACTTGAACATCACCGACCTGCACCCAACACGACCTTGATCTGCTGCAACATCCTGTTTCGCTTGCACCTTGCAGGGCTTGGACACATTGAGACAAAGTGCTGATCCATGTGGCCGCCCGTGTAACAGCAATAATAGAGTTCTCGTTCAAGAAGAACCGGCCCATTCCTCTGGCTTATGGGTCAAGGACATTTCTGTGGCTCTGCCAATTGCCTTGGAGACAACTTTTCCCCGGCCCCGCTCTGCCTCTCCTGTTGAAAGACAAAATCAAACACACTACAATACAATGAAGCTTGGACATCTATCATGTACAGCCGATCTTCTCTCCTCATGCGCCTTCATAAACACAGCTCACAACTGAGGAGTTGACATTGCCATACTATGCCATACTCAATCATTCCATCTCATTTACCATTGCATTTCCAATGTGTGTGCACACAGACACACAGTTGTAGGCACGTACTCACTGACAAGAAGCTGAATCTTCCTCCCTTTTGGGAAGAAGCTTTGCAGAAGGAGCAAGAACGCTACTAGGGGCTTCTGGCATCGCTACTAGGAGCAAGAACGCTACTAGGGGCTCCTGGCATTACTACTAGGAACAAGAAGCTACGAACGGAGCAAAGGATGCTTTACTAGGTCTAAAGACTTTTCGCCCTAACAGAGGGCCTTCCATCGGATTCTTGACGGCCAAATGAGCACCAGATCCCATGCGCACCGACGGCAAGCACGTTCATCAAAGACTGGCCACGAACAGTGTAGTTATGCAACTTCATCATTGAGTGTATGGGTCCACTAAACAAACACTCTGACAAATCGCTCAATCATGTGTTTTTTTGCAAACGACGGTCTCTCGGTGCAGTCTAAACACTTGAAATGCTGCGACCGAAAGGTTGACTTCGCAATTGTCAGGCCTCCAAAAGTCCCAGAGGTGACAGCCCTCGAGAGCCCAGTTCCAGTATTTTGGCCAAAAGAAGGGGTTGGCCGCAATATTAAAAAGAAGGGGTTCCAGTATTTTTTCAGTTTTTTTTTTCACCACCAAAGGACTTCCAGGTGTGAGCTGTTCTGATTGCTGCTGTTGTAGTCATTCTAGTGGTGGTGATCGTGGTCGTGGTTGTGGTATTGGTGGTTGTTGCTTTTATTGTCGTGGGTGAATGATCAATGGCCCAATGCCCTCATGCTCATACCTTAACCGCTTCTCTTTATCTTGCAGCCCACAAGGCAGAACTAGTTGACAACGTACCGATACCATTGCAAAGCATATTCATAGTCATAGTTTGCCAAGGCCTGATGCTCCGCAGCGTTGGGACCTGATGACTCCGAAGCGTTAATTAAATGCGTTGGTCTTCAATATTTTGAGTGAGTGAGGCTTAAGGACTGAGATGTTTGTGTGAAAGAGCTGAACTTCTCGACCCAGACCATTTCCATTTCTCAGAGAAGAGCACAGACCCAGAAGGGATCTTGCTGCGACCCTACCTTTAGACAGGGAAGTTGATGATTTCAGTTTTACTTCTTTCCATTCAGGATGGCAAGGACAACCTCAATTGGATCAACTTTTCATTTATGCAATGCAAACAGCACGTGCGTTGGCTCTTGGATGGCACGTGAGCTCTTTGTGAGCTTTCCTATCCGCTTTCAGTGAGTCCTAGGGTTGATCCAGTGTTCCAAAGTGCTCGTTTGGTTCAATTGACCGACACGCGCACGTCTGGCAAAGTTTGAGGCGAGCTTTTCGTCCATGGAGGCGCCGTCGCAGAGCGTCAGAGCGCTGACTAGCGTCAGAGGTTCGAAGATATTCGACAGAAGCTTCAAAGACCTACTAGAAGCTTTCTTGTTACTACAGGTGAAACGATTCCCAGTGAAACGATTCCCAAGGAAGTTTCTAGTTACTAGAAAGCTTCTAGTATGCTCGACAGAAGTCACCTGCCAGGGCTCCCTCATGGCCAGCACCAGCTGCAAGACGTTGAGGTTCACAGAGAGTTCGACGAAAACGAACGAAGAAACTCTGTTCGTCGGTGAACGCAGCTTGTCCGAAGATTTGTATGGCCCTGGTGGACTCCGTCGGCAAAATTTTACTCTTGTGCATTGAAACAATACTGGCAAATTCCATTTTGATTTCCTTTGTGTTGCCGAATGATACTGAAGCAATTAAAGAAACCCGAAGTGGTCCTTGAACAAATGCCCGCCCGCAGATGATTAGGACAAGGGCCCTCCGGGTTTGACATCCTCACACTGACAATGATGCACATTGGCAGATATAGAGTTGATGGACAAAATGAATTGGTAGATGAAGATGGACAAGCTTTCGTTCGGGGAAAATGCAACCTTCAAGCCCAACACGAAAAACGTCAAGGACCTCTCGAAGCATGGGACGTTTAAGTCTCAGCAACTTGCTGGGGCCCTCAGTTTGTTTTAACAAGGATAATAAGGATAGGTCTTTGACTCCAGAAGATCGGATTTTCAGTTGCAATTTCTTCATTCTGTCTAGGGAAAGAACTGAGTGACGGCCTCCAACCTAATAGCGAAGGCCTCCAACCCAAGAGCGATGATCTCCCGGGGCCCGTGCTTTGCTGCGCTCAACTCAACTTGTCCTTTTTTTCATCGCGCCTGCCAGTCTGCCAATGAGGTCACTTTGTGCGAGCGAGAGTGTGGAGAATGAGCGGCGGCAAACAGAGCGTGGCTTGGAGCGTGGTCCTCAACAAGGAATGTAAAGCCGTATTGTATTGCTGTACGTTATCACTATGAAGTCATCAAGAGACCTCCTTGTCCCCGGTGTATGACTTGCTACCTCAGGGAGTGCTGGAACAAGAGAATGAATACCCATTCATATTTCATCGTTTGTGGCTTGGCCCCTTCGGTTTGTTTGGGAGCAGGTCTTGGGTACGCTTGAACTCCTCAACATGCGAGAAGGTCAGCAGAGAAGCAGTGAAGCATACCAAGCTGTATGGGCCCATGATTTGGTTCCTATATTTTAGGGAAACTTAACTACTAGTAGCGTCCTTGTTCCTGGTAGCGATGGCCTCCAACCTAATAGCGATGGCCTCCACCTAGTAGCGTCCTAGATTTTTCCCCAGATAGTGTGAGCTATTGGGGTTCTATAAGAGGAACTGCGTGTGTGCGTTTTCAAGCCTGGGTGCTGGTGCCGCTGCAGGGTGCCGCTGCGCTTGGGAGCTTGCGTGCTGGCGCGGCTGCTGTGTGCGCTTGGGAGCTTTGGTGCTTGTGTGGCTGCAGGGTGCCACTGTTGTGTGTGTGCTTGGGAACTGGGTGGTACCGCTGCTGTTTGCGCATGGGTGCCGGTGCTGCTGCAGGCTGTGTGCGCTTGGGGTGTTTGGCGGTGTGCACTTGGGAGCTTGGTGCTGGTTCGGTGCGCTTTGGAGGTTGGTGCTGCTGCAGGGTGTCGCTCAAGGGTGCTGCTGCCAGCTGCGACATGTCTCTTGCTCTGTGCGCTCTGAATTTCGGGTGCTCGCACCGCTGAGCAAAGTGCATGCCGCTGCGGACGGCTGCAGGGTGCTGCCCCACAGAAATCTTTTTGCTGTCTGGGATCTATGCTGGCGTAATTAGGTACGGGGGCTTCCGCTCACTTTCCTTGATGGCCTGTTCTGCCCAGGCGAGAGAGCCGCTGGCTCAAGCGCGCGACCTCAGCGGGAGGTTTATGTTCAACTTCAGCATTTCCCTTTGCAAAGGACTGACAAGTTGAACATCTCTAAGCAATCGATGCAGAGCTTGCAAATCTACTCTGGCATTTGCAAGTCCGGTAGAACATGTGGTGCCCCCAACGCATCCATAGGAGGCATGCCCCCTGCTGAAAAGACGGTCCCGCCATCCTTCCAGCACCAAAAGGGACAGGAAAATGATGGAAGATGATGGGAGTGTCTTGTGCATTGAAGATACCCCAGGCGTGCGCTCAGTGAAGAGATGCACCGCATTGAGGCCATGCAGGAGCCCTTGAGGGTCCAACTCGAGAGAGCAGAGAACCAACTCTGCTTATTAGAATTTATTAGATCTTATCCGCTATTGTATTGAGTATCCTGCGACATTCACGGGCATACA